TCAGAACCCCCTTCCCCTCCCCCATTTCTGAAGAAGGGTCTAGGCCCAAAACGTCAGCCTTCCTGCTCCTCTGATGCTGCTTGGCCTGCTGTGTTCATCCAGCTCTACACCTTGTTATCTCTGGAGTACTGAGAGTAATTTTGGTCCCCTTGTTTGAAGGAAGATATCATTTCATTGGAGGCTATTCACAGAAAGTTCACCAGGATGATCCCTGGTATGGAAAGATTGTCTTAATAAGCAAAGGCTAAACAGATAGGACCCTACTTAATGGAGTTTAGAAGAATGAGAGGGGATTTCATTCAAACATATCAGATTCTTGGGGGGTTTGACAAAGTAAATGCTGAGATGAGGTCTCCACCAGACTGCACAGTCATAGACTTAAGGGATGCCAATTTAAAGAACAAAGAAAATTACGGCACAGGAACAGGCCCTTCGGCCCTCCAAGCCTGCGCCGATCCAGAACCTCTATCTAAACCTGTCGCCTATTTTCCAAGGATCTGTATCCCTCTGCTCCCTGCCCATTCATGAATCTGTCTAGATACATCTTAAATGATGCTATTGTGCCCACCTCTACCACCTCTGCTGGCAACGCGTTCCAGGCACCCACCACCCTTTGCGTAAAGAACTTTCCACGCATATCTCCCTTAAACTTTTCCCCTCTCACCTTGAAATCGTGACCACTAGTAATTGAGTCCCCCACTCTGGGAAAAAGCTTCTTGCTATCCACCCTGTCTATACCTCTCATGATTTTGTAGACCTCAATCAGGTCCCCCCTCACCCTCCGTCTTTTTAATGTAAATAATCCTAATCTACTCAACCTCTCTTCATAACTAGCCCCCTTCCATACCAGGCAATATCCTGGTGAACCTCCTCTGCACCCTCTCCAAAGCATCCACATCCTTTTGGTAATGTGGCGACCAGAACTGTACGCAGTATTCCAAATGTGGTTGAACCAAAGACCTATACAGCTGTAACATGACCGGTCAACTCTTGTACTCAATACCCCATCCGATGAATGCCGTATGCCTTCTTGACCACTCTATCAACCTGCGTTGCCACCTTCAGGGTACAATGGACCTGAACACCCAGATCTCTCTGTGCATCAATTTTCCCCAGGGCTTGTTCACTTACCGTATAGTTTGGTCTTGAATTGGATCTTCCAAAATGCATCATTTAAGATTAAGATGAGGAAGAATTTCTTCTCTGAGAGGGTTGAGAGTCTTTGGAGCTTCTTGCCACAAGAGAACTGTGCGGCAGAGTGCTTCAGTACACTTTAAGGCTGAGAAAGATTATTGAATGGTTGGGGAATCAAGGGTTATGGGAAAATTTGGGAAAATGGATGTGGAATGTCAGATCAGTCATGATCCTATTGATTGGCAGAGCAGCTCAAGGGGCTGAACGGCTTACTCCTGTTCCTATTTATTATGGTTTTATGGTCTTAAATGTAAATGGGAAGAGACTAGGCAAGGGGAGAGAAAACAGTCAAGATGGGAAGAATTAAATTCAGTGACAGGAATAGGCTGAAATGACCGATTTGAAAGACTATGAGTTGGGAAGCTCATAGCAAAAGGCCAGAGGACAGTATTGGAGATAGGCGAAAGGGTCTGTGTGATGGGGAGATGCCTTTTGTTCAGAGAAGCAGGCATAGAGGTGAAGGTGATGGAAGAAGAGTTCAGCATCATGTCATGCTCAAAACCTATTGACGTGTGAGCGTAAAACAATAAAGCTTAGTCCTTTGTTGAGTACAGATCATTAACATCACAGTGAATATAGAACAAGAGGTGGGATTACACAAGGTGATAGAGTCAGAGGAAAGGGGGTTCAAGGAAGGATCTAGAGAGGTATCAGTGCCTGTGAATTGCTGGATTAATTTAATGTAATGCGACCATGACTCCTGAGTTACCTGTTGACTGCAACATTCTCCACTTCATTCCTGGCTCTTTCCAAATGACTGTTACTGTGTGTGAACCTCAGCAGTGGATGTCCACAAGCTATTGATCTAGAGATGATAAGCAATATTTAATCTGTCTTTGTTGACTTGGCTCAATCATTGCCATTTTTTAACTACAGTGCAGTGCTGAGGGAATGCAGCACAATTGGAGGTGCTGTCTTTCAGATGCGGCATTAAATCAAAGTCCATCTCCTCACTAAATGACCCACAGCAGAATCTTGAAGATGTGCAGGCAAGTCTTCTCCAGTGTCCTGATTGATATTGTTCCTTCAACAATCATCAATTAAATAGGCAATCCAATTATTGCTGTTTGTGGGAGCTTGCTATGCATTTATTGGCTCCTGTAACTCTTACATTACAACAGTGCATTCCACTTTAATAGCTGTAAAGTGTCCTCTGATGACTTGAGATCAGAACAGGTGTACTTAAATATGTGTTTGTTATTTCCTAGTGAGATGCGAATTAAGGGGCATTATTGTGGCTGACCACCTTATTAATGCCTAACTCAGCTCATTAATATTCAGCTTCCTATTTTACAAAACATGCCAAACAAGCCAGACACTGAAAATTCTCAACATGGAGAACTTCATGTCAAAAATTTTCAGTGTCTGGCTTGTTTGGCAGATGTCAGTTGACTCTCACACTGATTTTCAAATTCTCTCTTTTTTTAACTCCTTGATGACCTATTAATTTCTTACAATAGGATTGGTCCTAGGTTGTCAAAACCATCAGATTTTAAATTTAATTGGGTTTTGATATCTAGGGCCTGGTTTAAATTAATTGGCTAAATTTAAAAACCTGTTATATTGGTAAAAATGTTGCTTTGCCTGCTAACTGTATATAACTTTTTAATACAATGTTTCAATTTCAAGGGCTCTCTGTGTATCTGCTGCTGCCTGTGAGCCTAAAAAAAATCATCTTCTAAAGGGACCACACACGCCCCCCCCCCTATCATTTTACAAACATCAAATTCTAATATCCTGCCTTCCAATCCACAAATACTCTACCCAACTTCGCAACACTACCACTAAGGCCTCTATAGGGAGGTATAATTCCAGGGTTTAAGGAGTAGGGAAGACAGTTGAAGGTTAAGTTCAATGTGATGTCTCTTCACATGAGGTATGTTTAGAGTGAGCTGTCGGGGTAGTGCTAGGTAAAAAATAATATGAAGGTTCTGGGAAGGAGTGGGATACTTGTTGACCAGGCAGAGCCTGTGCTGATGGTGAATTGCATTCAGCAACATCACTTGCCATTTTTGTCTTTGCTGGATAAAGTAAGAAGGAGGGGTTTGCAAACTGCAGATACATTGCATTTGCAATCATTTCTGCACGCATGTGTAATCCATACAGAGCGAATGTGCTGATGTGTCAAATGTTGTTCAAAGGTTATTTGCCCCAGGCCATTGGTCCTGGTTAAACTAACATTATCATCTCAGTGGAAAGAATACGGACAGGTCAAGGAGGCGGGGATGAAGCTAGCAAAGGTGAGTATAGGTAGGGAGTTGGGATGGGGGTTGGTAAGTGAGGAGGGAGGGGCGGGTAGGTGGGAGGGAAGACAGACAGATCAAGGAGGCAGGGATGAAGCTAGTGGAGGTGTGTGTAGATAGGAAGTGGGGGTTGGTCACTGAGGTGGGAGGAGTGGATAGGTGGGAGAGAAGACAGACAGGTCAAGGAGGTGGGGACGAGAGGGAGGGCTGGTCTTGGGATGAGGTTGGGGGTGGGGAGATTTTGAAGCTTGTAAAATCCACATTGAGACTTCAAGCGGAG